TGGAGATTTATCCTACCTGAAATTAGCTGGGTTAATGCAGACTGTATTTTGCATCGTGCATACAAAATTGATGAATAAACTTTGTTGTTTAGTTCAGCACAGCCTTTGTTAGCATGAGTGAAGAGAGAGTTCCCCAAAACTGAACAATGAACAATATCTTCACTCGATATCTATCAAACACTTTTTACTTCCGCACTTTTTGATATAAACTCAAGATATAATGATCTCCCAGTTTTTTTTAGCGAGAAACCATATTTTTTATCGATCTCACTCACAAAAAAACTCGTCAGCTAACAGCGGATCGCGTGCCATGCCGGGTCACGCAGACAGACAGACCCTTTTTAGGGTTGGCCCGCACAAAAACCATCAGTCGGAAGAGTCGGAGACAGAGGTCTCACCAATCAGCCCGCATCATCTGTAAGCTGCGGGCTGATGTCGGCTTCAAACCCGGGGAACGGCCGCAGCCGGGGCACACCCGCGCCGAGGCGTGGGTCGATATCACGCCGGGCGTTAGTTCACTACGGAGAGGGAGAGGGAGGGATAGGGAGAGGGGGAGAGAGAGAGAGAGAGAGAGAGAGAGAGAGAGAGAGAGAGAGAGAGAGGAGAGAGAGAGAGAGAGAGAGAGAGAGAGAGAGAGAGAGAGAGGAGAGAGAGAGAGAGAGAGAGAGAGAGAGAGAGAGAGAGAGAGAGAGAGAGAGAGAGAGAGAGAGAGGGTGAATGCTCATTTATCGGTAAATGTGACTGGTGGAATGTCGACCTCTGTCTTTGCCGAGTGATTCTGTTACTTTCATCAAACTGTTTTTTTTTTTCGGCATCGCTGTCACATCTCTTGTCAGTCTAGACTTAGAGTTTTAGACCGTCCGACTGTCCTACACCCGAAAATAAAAGTGCACGTTGAAGCAACGCCACTAGCCTACCTCCATGAGTTATATGTTTTGCGTCCAGTCCCGCGTGAAAATTCCCCCATGAGTGCCCACCCTATATCGATTCAGCGCCTGACCGCTGCGGATGCACCCCTCACACACCACACACTCCCCTGCTGAGCTCCACTGCGGCGTCAGAACCCCTCGACCAATTAGCGCACCCGGCGGGCCGTCGCTCCGCCCCCTCCTCCCCTCTCCCCCAGTCTGCGTGCGCCGCTCAGCACGCGCGTTCCCGGATGTTGCGTTAAACTCGACTCAACTGGCGTTCTGATTGGCCGACGGCTGTTGTCGTTTCGGCGTATTGCAGTCGGGGTTATGATTGGTCGCCCGCTGCCGCTACGCAGAGGGTCTCTCACCCAACGCGCATATGATTGGCGGAGCGGGCTGCGTGGCACGCTCATCCGGGAACCCTGACGCGCACAGACGCACAAATCAGATGCGTGCGGGTTGGGCTCGCCGCTGCGGGTAGCCAGTCAGGGAGGAGGGAGGCGGAGGGATCCACCAATGGTGTGGTGGCTTGAGGAACGATGAGGGTGTGTGTGAGGCGTTGATGTGACCCCGGCTCAGCACATGAATGTGTTGTGGAAAGGGAGGGCGAAAGAGAACCACGTTTGTTGGTGTGAGATTGTTGCTCTAGGTTTCTTTCAGGCTTGTCAGTTGTTCCGTTCAGGTGCGAGTGATTCGTCCTTTTTCCAAATCGATTGTTTTGCGGTTAAGTGAGCTGCGCCGTAGAACGAACGCTGCATGGGATTTTCCGAAATACCTTCAGTTGAAAAAGTAAATTGAAAACGTGCTCAACGAGAACCATTGACTGCATAATGCATAACCACAGCCCCGCTATCATTCAACGATTTGATTCCGGCAGTCCGGTCTACGTCAGAAGACAAACACAATTCTGTGCCACCATTTACAGGTTTCTTTCAAATTTAGAGATTCGTCCATGCGTCACTTCGTGTCAAGCCCAAAATCCTCGTCCTAATTTCTACCATTGCTCTGACCGCGATGTCCCGACCTCCGTTTTCAGATATCTAATAGAACTTTGTTCTCCCCGCTGTTCTGACTGTAAGCCACTGTCTCACCACTGTCCCGCTCTTTATTTCCAGAATCTTTGGTGGACCTTCGCTCTAATCAATGCACTGTTCTAATCACTGTTCTGACCACCGTCACCCTCTTAGTCTTTCAGAATCTCTTAATTCAGAATTCAGCATTTTGAGTGATCAGCTGCTCTGATCACCGCCTTGACCGCTGTTTTACCCCTGTTCTAACCACTGTTCTGACAACTGACTCCTTTTTTACAGAATATAGTGGAGGGCTGTTCTGACCCTACTCTAACCGCTGCTCTTCCCCCTGTTCTAACCTCTGTCCCCGTTGTTTTTCTGTTTCAGAATCTCTGGTAGACGTCACGCTGTCGTGCGAGGGTCAGAGCCTCAAGGCACACAAACTGGTCCTCTCGGCCTGCTCGCCCTACTTCAAAACACTCTTTCAAGACCACTCAGAGGCACATCCTATTGTGATATTGAAGGGTAAGTGACCAATGGGAAGTATTGGCGGCTGGGTGGGCCGTGGTGTGCCAAGAAAAGCCAGGCTGGACGTTAGAAGTCTGACAGCTAAAATTGATCCACTTGAACAGCAATGCAATGCAGTTTTGGTAAGTTCTGCGCGCTAAATTGTCATCATTAATTAGTTTGTCTTGTGTTGTCCCAAATTGGTTTTTAGCAAGAGACTGAGTTTAAAAGGAAATTGACAACCACACCGCTTTTATCTCCTAAATACAATATTCAGAGCACATAAAAAGGAAGCAGAGCTCAAAAGTACATATGAATTAATTAATAGACGGTAAGGCTCGGCCAGCTGCGCCTTCTAGAGCATTACGAGTCGTCCAAAATTAGCCTAACTGGTAGAACACTTTGCGTTTTAAGCACCTGACTGTTCGTTAAGTATAATTAATAATTCCTGTTACTTGGTAGATTATGCACTGATCACGTGTATTCAATGCAATGCAAAACATTTGGGACAAGTTTTATAACAGTCGGTAGCATTTTAATGCCAGGCAGGCATCAATGGTGCTGCTTCCCCAATCCACCGATAATCCGCAGCCGGCATGCCCGCATGCCACAAATTGTGTCTTATTGTAAGCTTTGCTGGTGCATTTCGCTGCGCGTCCGCGAATCAAGGTTACTCAGCCTTGGAGGGCTTTAGCGGCCGCTGCCGCCGCCGCCGCCGCCGCCGCCGCCGGTAAGCGGTGCACGGAACTCGGTCAGTTGGCAGCATGTTGGCAGTCGTCAGCGAGTTTTACCCCGGCACGTGGCCTGTTCACCGGGCCACTGTCAGCTGGCGCCGGCGGTGACAGCTGCCACCACACGGCACCGGTGGAGAAATTCACCAATTGGCCGAAACGGAAAATAATTGGCTGATTGGATTGCGAACATGCGCTGTGGTGTGGGGACTTTAGAAAAAAAGATTGAAGGGCATTAGGCTGTGGTTGGTTTAGCAATTAATGCGGCTTCCTGGATAGGTAGAACGAATGTTTTCAGACAGCCGAGTGGCCTTTTTAGCATGTTGCAACAAAAGAGGGTTGTAAAAGTGTTCGCCTTAAACCCGATAAATATTTTATAATGCAGCCGTGAGTGCAGCTGTTGCTTGCATTATGCATTACCCTGTCTTGACTGTCCTTATATGGCATTGATTTTATGCATTTGGCTGTCTGTATCGAACACAAATTAATAGCACAATTGTATACAAATATCGGGGATTCTGTTCACCCATCACATCACCACTAATTCATCATCCTCATCAAAGCTATATCTGCCCCACCGACCCTTAGCAACAACCCATTCGAGTCAATTCGCCTCGCGGTAATATTCAACATAGCGCAGTCTCATCCTTATGACACTATCATCAGCCACCTCTGATAATAACCCCCTACCACCACAATGGACGGTCACGGATCACGTTCTCAGTGATCGCCCGTCGTGAATAAAGAACACTGCCGTGAATAATCACGGTGAGTCCCGACACCGCCCTGTCCCAGTCATCTAGACTGATTGAGCGCGCGCTATCAGGCAGGCCGTGCTCTGATATGACCGTCTAGCCACGCCGGGTCATTGGATACGGTGTTTATACTCGCAGACAGACGCGGTCACGTGTCACCACACTGTGAGTCACGTGGTCAGTGTGGGTGGTCTTTTTCTAAGACATGATCGGAGTCACGTGGTCACTGTGCGTGTCACGTGGTAAGAGGGACTCTGATATGGCAGAGCCACGGTGAATGATTGAGACTTTGAGGGTGTCGTAGTCGAAGGAAAAAAACTGTGACATGTGTGAAGTGGATGGTCCGATTTCATGAGACGGTACCGTATCAGTACAATGGGATAACAAATACGGGTGAGAGGCCGGCGCGGAAAAATTTTACTCCACGATTGCACGGTGATGCGACGTAAAGTGGCGTCAAACCTGAAGTCTTTTGAGAACTGGCGTCAGATGATCGTGGAATTCCATGTGTACCCCAAGCTAGTACAACTGGTCAGAAAGAACAGTGGCGGCGGAAGTGGTGCATGACCATACCATGCGTGATATCAGTGTCACAGACCGTCCTGGCGCCATGCGGCCGCCATGTTGGAGCAGTCCAGCCTCCGGGGGACGGAACCGAGACGGCCGGACCAATTTCTCAGTCCACCCGAAGCCAGTCAGCCAGTTTGGGTAATTTATGGCCGTCGTCCGCAGCGAGAAGTAAATGATGGATGGTGTCGCTTTACTCTGCGATCCGTGGCCGCCGCTCGACAACCCGCCATTTCAGCCATTACTTGCCGAATTATGCTACTAAATAGCGTAATAATAATAGGTGCGATGTACTCAGTCTGTACAGCGGCAATCAAAACGTAAAAAATGAACAGATGTAACTAGACCTTCGTGCTAATCGGCATTACCAGTCATTGCTGGCGAGTGTTGAAGAGTGGATCAACCATGTGGGACTCAAACTGTTAAAACGGACCGGCAAGCGGTGGTTGGTGAATGGACGAGGAACGAGGAAATGGACTGCAAAATCAAAGCTCAACATTTGAACCGTGATATATTCTACAAATGCCAGCCAATTCGGAAGACAGGTTTACAAAGCTGCACGTTCCCAATTTAAAAAAAAATGCTGTTCAAGAATGAGGAACTATGAATACAAATCAGCGTTCGCAACCAGGAACTGTTTGTTTTGCGTGTGTAGGAAGAGGCACACAAATAAAAAATGTTTATCGTGCACCTGACTTTGGTATTCTATTTGATAACTTTCTCTTTGCGTGCAGTGGCTGGATCGTGATGATAGGTACCGTCTGTGTACGCTCCCGCCGCCACCGCCGCCTTTCAACATTTTATGCACGCCTTATTCGTGTCAGAACGGCTATCTTTGTGCCTTTGAGCCGTTGCGCTTAGCATCATACTATGCAAATAAGACAAATTACTCTGTTAATTGACAAAATCTTGACAGGTCAACCCATCGAATTGGGTCATTCTACGTCCTATATTGCGCGGCCAGCCCATGAAATTGGGATACATCCTGTATTGCATAACTTACTCTGTCAAACTGGTGTCTAATTTTAAATTTCTTTCCGCTCTGTCACCGCTCACTACCGACTGTCATTCCTGTCTGCTAACATCGTGTTGCTAATTTTCAGATGTGAAGTTTGCCGAACTGAGGAGCATCATACAATTTATGTACAAAGGTGAAGTGGAAGTTGACCAGTCGGAGATCGAGTCGCTCATCGGCACCGCCGAGGGACTCATGATCCGAGGTGAGTCGGACTCAGAGTCGGGAGTCATGTGCAAGTGTCAGAGTCATGTGCCAGTGTCGGAAGTGGGGTGTGATTGTCAGGATTCAAGCCTGAGTGTAGGGAGTCAGATTTCAGTGTTTGGAGTCGTAGTCGAGTGCCGAGAGTTGTATTTGAGTGTCGGGAGTCAGGTTTCAGTGTTTGGAGTCGTAGTCGAGTGCCGAGAGTTGTATTTGAGTGACGGGAGTCGAGATTGTGCATCGGGAGCCATGTTTGGGAAGTGGGAAACATGCTAGAGTACCTATGGGGACTACAGTTTAGTTAGTAGTACCGGAGCTTTCAAATCTTGAGGATAAGTGTCAAATGGTGCCGTTTGAATGTCGAAATTTGTGTTTAAGTAGAGCAGGAGAGCTGTGTGTCGTGTTTTTTTTTTCTTTAGAATTAGCGTCATGCACCATGGAAGCGGTGGTAGTGTCCTGTTCAAATAAGTCAACTGGCAAATTTATCCCTCGCCCCGTTGGGGGGGGCCATTTTGGCCCCCCCCCCTGTGGTTTTTCCTGAATAGCAAGAAAACGGCGGCGCGCAGCGCCGCCAAATTTTCAGTACCTTCCCGGGCATCAATTTGACACCTTCACACCAAATTTCAAGTCTTAGGTCACCTTAGGTCAGGAGTTATTGAGGTCAAACTGAGGTCATGTTCGAGCAAAAATGAGCAAAAAACAAGCAATCTTGAAACGCTCACCAAATCTACAGTTATCAAGCAATTTCAAAGTTCTTTATATGGTCTAGTAGACAAAAGGCGGCGCTACAAAACTGCTATCTCGAATTTTCAAAATTTTTGGTTTTTGACCCAAAAAAATCAAAAAATTGATTTTTTAGAAAAACTTTGAAAAAATCCAAAAATTTTCCGAATTTCGAAAAAAACGGAATATATGTGATAGTCCCAGCGCTCTTCTATATACATACCAAATTTCAGATCGATATCTCGTTTTTTGGCCAAGTTATAGCGAAAAAACTGTTCAAAAATGATGACGTCAAATTTTTGAACTCAATTTTTAGCAATTCTAGACCTCGTACGGCAAAACAAAGACCACCATTGAACTCCCCGTGACGAGCTGCATCGATTCGATACCCATTTTATGCAAAAATATTAATTTTGAAATTTGACCTAATTTGACCTGACCTTGACCTGACCTTGACCTGACCTTGACCAAAACGTGATCTTAGCTGGCCCCAAAGGCTGCCTGACCCATATAATCGCATTTGTCATGTAAAATGGACCATAAAACATGTATCACACGACACTTTCATATTGTGACCCCCCCGTGACCTGACCTCTGTGACCTGACCTGGTATCAGTGACCTCAAATAGCAAAATATGTGTTTGAAGAACATTTCCCCATCGATGGTTTTCAATGAAATGCATTTTACTCGATTTTACAACGCATTTCTTGAAGTGCCTGTAAACGGTGAAAATTGGACCTTTGACCTGACCTGTGACGTCATCGGTTTGACCTAGGTCAATAAAATTGGGTCACAAGGTAGTTCCCCGTTGGGGCTATCCAACGCCGTTTACCGCTTGTCGCTATGTTGCGTGGTTCTCGAGATCTTAGGGGGGGGGCCAAAATGGCCCCCCCCCAACCGGGCGCGTTGCTCGGCAGAGCCCAACGGGGCGCGGGTTATGTTTGTCAATTGGCGGCGTCCATTCTTGTTAAGCAGTGCGACCCAACGGGCGATTTGTCTTTGGTTGCGTCACACACTGCGGGACTCACATTTTAAATAATACGTTTTTCACAAACTTTTCGCCGAACTAACTGCCACAATGTAGATTTATTATGATAAATCGAAAGAAGTTTGCAATGATAGCCTGGCAAAAGGAGAACAGACGAGCCCATTCTGCGCAGACCGACGTAAAAATAGAAATTATGGGGACGAATGTTATGGAGGGCAAGGGATCTGAAGGCCACATTTTAACGGATAAAGGGGGGATGAACTGCTGCGGATTGGATTATGTCTGAATACGTCATTGCTGCTTTTGTTGCTGATATCTGCATTATTTCTTTGTCTTGGATGAAGCAATCATATGGCAGTTCGTAAAAAGTAGCAGAACAACGCCATGATTTTAACTGCTTTCGTTTGATTAATTTTTGTTGACATGATCAGCGAACAGCAAGGTTAAGTTGTCCTGAAAAGCGAATGACCAATAACCACGCAACAAAGTTCTGCTTTTGAACTAGCAAGAAATGGAAAACACAGAATAACATTTCATCTCTATATGTTGTATAGGCGTATCCACTTCAAACGCCTCGCTTTTGACACCATGCCACAACAGAAATACGGCACGAGCGCTGGCTGCACCAAGTCCTGGAACTGGCATAACGGTTTATAGTATACCACATCGCACTTTGTGCCTGGGTTTCTCCCTCGCTATTCTGGTGTGTATATCTACAGACTGAAGATAACCGAATATGAACATGAGCGAGCCTGTTTCATGTCTCCATCACAATTTCGCGGTTGGAGGGTTTCAGATATACGAGACAACACACACGAGAGGTGTCGTAGAGTAAATTTCCTCGAATATATTATAGTTTCTTTCAGGGTTTCGGAGTCGGAGTCGGAGTCGGAGTCGGAGTCGCCCGGAGTCGTGGCAAGCAGCCAGGAGTCGGAGTCGGAGTCGGAGTCGGTCCGGGAGCCTCGACTCTGACTCCGGAAAGTTAACTGAAGTCTAAAATCCGTGCTATCACTTTTCAGTTGTTTTTAACCAGTGGCCCCACGGCAAAATTCGCTTCCGGCGATGACAAATAAGGTCTAGAGTTGCATCTTACAAATTTCAAGTCATGTCATAACCTAATAGGCAAGCAATATGTATTCGCGTTATAACTTCTACTATCCAGTGTCAAAGACTTAATGACAACTGTATATTTACTTTCTTCTTTTATTGCTCCAAAAAGTGCCTAACACAAACACAGACCGACATGATGGCGATGCCCGTGGTCATGATACGGCCACACTCGTGCTTCTCGGCGGGTTTTCAAGCTGGCCGCCGGCCGCTGGTCTCTAAAGATTCAGCTGCGTCCACGTGGGAGAAATGGTGACCGCATGAACGAAACCGGAGCGATCTCCCGGTGCGCGAACAGGGTGTCGTCCGGAAAGTTCTTGCTCCTCTTTTGGACGTCGTCTAACGCGCGCTGTGATTATTGGACTTTCAACCAATCACCGCAGATATGACCCCTCGTTCACCGTTCAGCTAGGGGTCGCGTAAATATGACCTTGAAACCGTTTTCAGTGCTAGGTATACGGGCGAAGATGCGCCTTGTCGCTGAGAGCCCGCGCGCGGGGGCCCGGTGCGGCTTGAACGAGGCGCGAGTTGCAGCGCGATGCGGCGTTTCGGCGAACGGTTGAGCAGGCAAAGGTGCATTCCGGATCGGAAATTTTCATAGAAAATATTCTCTCTCAGTTACGACCACGGTATGCCAAAGCTGCTGACACTGAAGCAGCATTTCAGCGGCAATCGAAGAAAATCGTCCTGCATCGTCAAAACCCGCAGGCGTTTCCGCCCTTGAGTCGAGGCCGTCGTCGGCACAGACGGTGGTTACAATGAATGGGCACTTAGCAGAAGCATGTGGCTTGGTGTTCCTGGTCATTGTTTTGTTCTATTGATATTGAGTATCTATGGACCAGAGGCATTTATTTTAAAAATGTTGAAAAGCCAGGACTTTCCGGTCACCCTATAGACCTAACATGGCGCGTCATATCACGCGGAATTTTGGCAGCCACTATTGCCCTTTGTATCAGACCCGGAGTCGGAGTCGGAGTCGGAGTCGGAGTCGGGGTCGGAGTCGGTCAGGAGCCAGGAGTCGGAGTCGGAGTCGGAGTCGTAAGAGCACTACCACGACTCCGAAACCCTGGTTCTTTGACTTCTATTAAAATTGTCTGCTGATACGCCCAATTCAGATGATAACGCCTCTTTTTCACGGGATGGGGAATAATTTATTGCTTAAAAAATGTCATTTATAAATAACATTTTAACCATCTGCTCACAGTTTTCGTGGTCGGTTGTACGCAAGAGCAAACGCACCCAAAATCTTCCACTTGTGGTCCAAGCCTGGCACCCCACCCCACCCCAGCTCATTCCAAAGACGCGCGCCTCTTGCTCGCAGGTCTCGCGCTAGGGTGTGTCATCATCAAAGGGCGGGTGTCACCCCTGGCACATCAGTGACGCACTCGGCCACTATGTATAGACTCCTGATTAGTGAATGGTGATTCAGTGTTGGCTCGCTTCACACGTGGGGACTCACGCTGGCAGACGTATATCGCTGACCACTGTCCAGCGTCCTGAGCAGTTTTGGAAAACCACAGAAGAAACTATGTAGACCAGACCAGGCTGAGCGAAATGTAGAATTTAGCGTACCTGTGTAATTTGGGTTTTGGAATTCATTTCTCATTGTTTTGTTAATGCTCTAAGCGAATGTTGACCATTGCTATTCAGTTAATATATTTGGAAAATCTAACTAATGGATTAGGAATTAGCTTCTTCCTAAAGACAGCCGCCACTTGTAGCCAAAGTAGCCCAGTGAATCGGCGTAAAGTTCCGTCGCTTCCCCTGTATCAGCCACCTCTAGCCGCCACGTGTGGTCGCGTGTCAAAAATCGGACCGCTTCACGCCCTGGCCATACCACCTGGTCGGGCTTACCGCCTTTCTGCGCGGCGGTTCCTCGAACATCGGATGTCACGAGGCTAACGCCGACTGGCTCGCTCCAAAATCGGCAGATCTGATTAAAAATGGCAGACGCGTATGACTTAGGTGATACAGAGAAACGCTGCACCAGTGGTGGAAAACTCAGCGCTGGACCAAACTTGTATGAGCGAAACAGTTGATGATCAGATTTGCAGTCGAGGTGCTTTTTGTTCAAACGACGGAAGCCGGGTGTATACTAATGCATTTGTCGGAAGTTGGCATACCGAAAATGACATTTTTCGGAAGTTGAACTTACATAAGATTGCATGGTTTGACAAATTTCCCGTCGTGGAACAATTTGAGACTGACAAAGCTTCTTATATTTGTTAGCTATTTTTTCTAATGACACACGACTCTAAATGTTTTCTTTTTCTTTTTATACCTTGCAATGACACGGACCAAATGTTTTGAATTTTCGCACACATGCATTGCTTTGCGCTTTTACAAATTATAAAGACTCGGTTCATTTTTACCAATGTGTGATATCGGAAACATTCCACGCAAGTTCGCTTTCAATCTTCTCTTTTAGCAACGGTTTCCTACGTCACCTCGGAAATTTATCAATTTTCAGATGCTACCTCTTATCTCATGAACCGGCATAAGTATCTTCTCCCAATCTTGAGAATTTAGACCCCAAGATCCATAAAAATCCACCTCCTCCACACCACGTCCACTCTCCTGTCTGGCTCTATTCCGCCGACGGTTCAGTGTCCTCTGATACTAATATCCAGCCCTAGTTGTCCTTCAGGATAACTGATCAGCTTAACACACGAGTGTCGTGCTGCATTCAGCGGTACTTTACCGGGCGCCATTGAGACGGGACCAAGTGGAGAGCCCTGTGGTAGCCCTCGGGATGTTTGTGTGCATCCCAAGGCCGCATAAAGAGCTGGCTCCTCTGTATGCTTAGCAGCTGAATAAAATGCATGAAGAAGCCACGCGCTGGTGAAAGAGAAAAAGTGTCATGATTTTCTGCATCAGAGGCCAGGTTGTTTACCAACAGAAAAATCGTTGACTGTGGTTATTTCTTGCCACAAGTCACCGACGAGGTTCTTCAGTCATGCCCCCCCCCCCTAAAAAAATGACGACTGATGGGGAAAATATTAGCCGACAGCCAGTCTCACTGATATTCTCGCATCAGGTACTCTTTTTTCGCTTCATTTGTCAAATTTGCGAGCGACTGCTACCAATAGAAATAACCGCAACTGGCGATCTTTCTGTTGGCATAACTTATCTCCTACGCATAGCACTTTTGCTTATCTTTTCATGCTCTTCGGTGATATCGTTTGTGAACACTTCCAAACCATCGGCCATGCTGAGCCTAAGTCAAAGCCCAACACTGAATTCGTAGATAAGACACTTAATCGCTCCTGATTATCCGTACTGTCATCTTTTTCCATCACTATCTATCTGCGAGTCTTGTGAGAGGGTGGCGTACTCTCCTTGCTCATGGGCACGAGCACCCAAGTCCTGGACGTGTTACCACTGTTCCATGAAGTCCGGCAGACCCGACGCGTCTGTCACATCCGTCACGTTCTTGGTGCCCGTCACGAGTTAGTCCAGGGTCACGGTCACACAACAGGGATGCATTGACGTCCGTCCAGACCGCATGCATTGCAAATCGGTATCTGCACCAGATCATCGCCGGCTGGGCTGGTGTCGGGTCTCGCCAGGTCTTTGCGTCGCCTGGTTCGCTGGGAACTGGTCCAAATACTTGGGCAAGCTGAAGGTTGTATTGGTGCCTTTTATCGAAGGTGATCCATGTAGGTACTGAAGGCAGGCGTCTTTGCGTTTCCTTCTGTCAGTGCCAACCCCGCACTTAAAGACTGGCATCACCTGATGCGAACTGTCTCTTGCTTTTCTGTCACATGACAGAGATGTCCCTGGGCTCCTCCACGACATTCAGTCGTCATTGTGTGGCTTACCAGCTCCAGTTCCTCATCCTTAACGCCATCACTGAATGTTTCCGCAGTTCTCCCCAGCTCTCGGTTGATCCCGTCAGCAGGTTCGTCCCCCTGGTCACTTAGCTCCCTCCTCCCACCTCCACTGCGACGTCCCGCGCGTCTAGGCTCTCGGTCGGGCTTCCCTTGCGCCTTCCTGCAACTCCTTCTTTTCTTTGACCTCTTGCGCCACCACTGTGCAGTGTGCGTTACTCAAAGCTACTCTCGGTCGAGCCTGTTCGGACTCCTACCTCTGTCTATAACTTCTTTGACCTTCCAACACCTCTGTGCGTTCCCGCATCGAGACCCCTTCTTTGGCATTCCACCATCGCAGCTCTGGCCGGCTGTCAGTTGACCCTTATCACCCTGCAGTCAATCTCTGCCCTTTCACACCCCTCTAACGCCCATACTGCGACGCCCCGCAGGTCTGGGCTCTCGGTCAAACCTGCTTCACCGACCTGTCTTTGACCTCTACCACCCCTCTGCGCTCTCCCACAGGTCTGGCCGGCTCCCGGTCCACAGTGAGTGGCCTGCAGCTGCGACCACCGACCGGTCACGACCTGACACCGCGCTCAGAGCCCTCCTCCGACCAGGAACGCAAACGGCCGCGCTCCGAGCACGACTCGGGCGGCGGCGGCGGGGAGCCGGCGCCCTCGCTGCCGCCCTCCGGGCCGCCCACCACCACCTCCAGTAACGGCGATGACGGCTCTGTGGTAAGTATCGACGGGAGGAGATGGAGTATGTGGAGGAGAATGTTGGAGGCTGTGAGGAATGTGGGCATGCATTATCCAGGTGATGCCCTAGTTGTCCGTTCATCTCTTGTTGTTGTTGCTGTTGTTGCTGTTTTTCAATGTAGTGGTCAGTGGAGCCTCCATAGCATTAGAAATAGGCCAACCATGATGTCTGTGTTGAGTGTGTGTTTTTCTATAGGCGTGGAAGAGAAGGGCAAAGGTTCAAGTTTATATATAATGTACCTATATTAAAGTAATAGGAATGGACTGCTGAACGGCTGGGTGCGCACGGTTTCTCTTTACGCCTGGGTCGCATACTAAGTGCTTGACGATGCAGCTCTATGTCCCAATATTCGGCTCAGTATTATAAAACAGACACTGCGGCAACGGGCGTGTATAAAGCTCGCACGAAACGAACCTGCTGGCAGCTTCGGAACCGGGCCTGTAATTTTCAGCCTCAATGGGAGATAATCTTGTACATTATATGACAGCAATAGCAGGTGTTAATACGATTAAATTGCTAGCAGCATGAGTGCAATGGGTAGGCTGGGTACAATTTCACAATTTCACGCCGAGGCACAATTTCAGGCAAGGCTCCCTTGATATTTTTTTTTTTTGTTTTCGCTAAATGCGTGGAGGGGTTAGCCTAATTTGTAAAAAATGCATAGATTCTCTAAACGTAATGAAGATTCATGCAATTCGAGAACAAAATGGTGAAACATTAGATTGTCTGTTGGCGGCTCGTTTGCAAATCGACACCATTTTATGAACATTTTATCAGCCAGGGCAATCTTAAAATTATTCAGCTTAGCATTGGGCATTAGCCACAAATGATTTGCTCAATATCAGCATTTTAATTCGTCTGCCACCAATATGTTCTGTCCACAACTTATTATCACGCTTGCAGCTTTCCACCTTTCCTTTCGTCAACATTAAGCGCTCTGAGAAGCCGAGCTCTGTTTGCCAGCACACTGCACTGCTTGTTTAAACGGCCTATTTTGGTACCCGGAAGGGCAGACGCGGTACTTCCCTGCCTCTAGGTGTGTGAGCCTGGCTGTATGTGTGTGTTTCGGCGCTATAAATCCACCTCGCCGGATGGCCCATATCGATTTCTGCACTCGCAAACTGCGGAGTGCAAAGTACGAAGGTGTGTAACTTGCAGAGGTTTCTAAACTTAGCGTTTTGTTGCAAGTAATCCAACTCACGCTGGTTTTAAAATCATTGGATTAACACAGGTTAAGATGCAGGAACGCGATGTCAGTTTGAGGAGGAAAACGAGTCTAATTGATGCGATTGGTGTCTGATAATTTAGCATTTGCGTTGTGCGTGAGCTGTTGTTCACCATGTGGCTTGAAATTAGGCACCAGTTTTAAATTTTAATTAGTTTGATTATGAAGCCAACCGTGATTTTGAAACGTGGCGAGGACGTGTGAAACCTCACCCTGGTCCCAAACACCACCCTGATTCTAAATAGTGCTCTCAAACACCAGTCTCATCCCGGGCTGGTCGAGTTTAGCGTTAGCACCATGACCGGCGAGCGTCCCACAAAAATTAATGGGGCGCAGCTGCGGCGCCCTGCGCGGCCGGCCGCCATCTTCGGGGCCGTTTTTTACGCCGGCCTCCTCCCATGTGGGCGAACCCACTCCATCATTCCAGCGGCGATTTTTGCCAGCCGCCGGCCGACCCGGACCGGTTTGGTGCGCTCCAATCTGAAACTCGGCGGCCGCAGAGCGTCCGAATCCGGGGCCGGCGCGCATAGAACGACCGAGCCAGACGCCAGCGCGCATAGAACGCCCGAGCCTGACGCCAGCGCGCATAGAACGACCGAGCCAGACGCCAGCGCGCATAGAACGCCCGAGCCTGACGCCAGCGCGCATAGAACGCCAGAGCCAGACGCCAGCGCGCATAGAACGCCCGAGCCTGACGCCAGCGCGCATAGAACGCCAGAGCCTGACGCCAGCGCGCATAGAACGTCGGAATTCAGTGCCAGAGCGCATAGAGCGTCCGATTTCAGTGCCAGCGTGCATAGAAAGGTGAAATCTAGCGCCAACGCACACAAAACGTTCGAATGACGAATCTAACGCTAATGCACACGGAATATTCGAATCTACCGCCAGCGTCCATACTCCATACAGTGTCCGAATCTAACGTCAACACACATAGAGTGCCCGAGCTTGACGCCGACGCGCATATAGTGTATATCCGAATCTAACGCCTACGCTCTCACAACGCAAGGGTTCATAGAACGTCCGAATTTAACGCCAGCTCGCACAGAAAGGTCGAAACAGCGTCCGACTGTGCGCTCAAATTCCATGCCAGGGCCCTGAGTACGCCCAAATCTGACGCAACGTGTCACATGCGCCACCATAGTAATGGCGCACGTACCCGCCGAGCCAAAACGTGACTCCATCACATACGCGTTAACCTAACGCGGACCCCCAACCCTCGTAACGCGAAAATCTAAGGCTGACGCCCGCTGTGCCCCAAGTCTAACGCTAACGCGCATACTCGTACTTAGCCCTTGAATCTAACACTGTCGCTCATTGAGTGTTCGGATCTGTCGCTAACGTCCGTCGTACCTGTATTCACAGATAAAGCGGCCCAAGATCGAAGACCCCGGCTCCGGCTCCGGCGAGGAGAATAACTCCGTGGACGGCATGGAATCGGTAAGTACCGACAGACGCCGCGACTTGTCCACCTCTACCTGCTGCAGTACTGGTATTCAGAACTGGAACGCAGATAGAGGTGGAACGGCAAGAATGACGCGAGCGCCGCGCTATTGCAGTGATTTTTTTTTGTGCGCACTAATATTAACGTACACGGTGCGGGGACATATTGACAATGACACGCACAACACATGCCTCTATTTTTCTACAGACGTCGCATTACACACGAAACAACGCAATCCGCATAAAACGCCTACGGCCTTGATTGCCCAACACTAACATGACAGTTGTGTCGTATTGACAGCTCGCATATACTCGTATATGTCTCATCGTAAACTCATACCTACGAGCTTACTTACGGGAATTCAGAGAACAACATCTATAAACGTAGATCTAATAATACGATGTTATTCGTTCGGTCTAGTTCACGGTCGTTTCAGGGGCCTCAATGTATCACGTAAATAATTAAACATTCTTAGTAGTGAAAATCATTGCGATAAAAACAAATATCCTCCAACTTTCATTTATTTTCATTTCAGCAAATATGTTATTTAGAATCACTCCTTTTAGAACATAAAACGCCTGTGGCCTTGATTTCCCTACACTAACAGTACCTTATTTACCCTAGTATTTCGTTCTTGTTGAAAATATCCAACGACAATCTGAAGAATATGGCCTATGTTATTACGACAATTGTTATGGCAAGCGCGATGATTCATGGGTGAAATTGTTTTCCACTGTGGTTGTTATACTGAAAGGCAAACCAGTATATTCTAGGTACATCCTTAGCAACACAGCCTAGCCACCGAATCAATACGCGGCCTCGTGCCCCCAACGCATTAATCGTAGGTCGTAGGTCGGTAGAAACTAACAAATGCATTGAGGCATGCGCATATCACGGTATGCTTAACGCTGTCGCCTTCACGTCGCTTGCCATGATATTTGAACGGTATGACTCCAATGGCAGTAGACGAAACTAGGCCGTTTGTATGTCGCTTTCATGGTTTTATTTGCCCTGCAGACGCTGGTATTTTCTTAATAGCGACATTAGTTGTATGAGCGCCAAGCTTAGAAAACGATCAATTCGGCGACTAGATGTCAGTGACGAAAGCTTTCCAAAAATTGGTTCATAGGTCAATGCAGGACATCAACTTCTCTCGTTCTGTAGGCACAAACCTTTAGATGTTTTGTCATTTGTGTTATTCGCTCCGTGTATTGCGACTCTTTTAATGTACGGTATAGACTAATACAGTAGTTTAATACCTCCTTGAATATTTCAAGCCAGTAGTGATTGAAATCAGTAACAGATATTAGGCATATAACGCATATAACCAAGTGACGCACAACGGGCAAACTGCCTAGTGCACTCAGACGTTACGCACGACTCAATCATACGAGTACGGGGACCCGCAGTTGCTACTGTACACGAACCCCAACTCCAGCCGTCTGTCCTGTCCAGTAACAACCGATAACATTTATATCGACTGCCGGTCCCTGTACAAGAGCAGCTGAGGTTTTCTATGCGTGCCCTCTGACAGCTTATCGTTGTTCCCTGTGAGGGTGCTGGGACAATTTACTCAGGGTCGCTGTACAGTAGTAACTGCGGGTCCCCGTACCTACAAAGCATGGCATTTCCATTTACCACATCAGTGAAAACTGAAAACCATCACATCTATCAAGCAATCGAAATAAATAAGCTACCGATTGAGATTTTCTGCAACCCACCCCAGCAGCATTTGACGTGGTCACTCTTCATGACTAGAAAGACAGACGGCCACAGTGCGGATCCCTGCGGCACACCGCCATTTTTCGCGCTCAATCACCGAGGTCAAGTCCCTCGCAGCGCTCCGTCGATGGCACCACTCCCCGGGGCGCAATCGGAGCGGGCGTCGAAAGGCGACTCCGCCGGCCGGCCGCCGACACGTCGTGCCCAGAGCGTTTTGCACGTCCGCAGCCCTCGCCGTGGCGCGGTCACGGCACGGCGCGGGCTGCAGCCGGCCCGCCGCCGCCGCCGCCGCCGCACGCTCGCGTTCGGCAACAAGGCCGCGCCTGCGGTGGACGCCGTTGGGGGGGGGTGGGGTGGCGTGAGGGGGGCGCCATGGATCGTGAATCCTTCGAGCGGCGCCGGCCGGCCGGCTGCACTAGTCGGACCCAGCGACCCGACGCGCGGCAGCCCGCGCTGGGCGAGGCCCGCCGCCGCCGCCGCCGCCGACCGCCGCTCACGGGCAGTTTTCGTGGCGCACCCTGCGCCGCCGCCGGCCGGCCGTTGCCAGATGTTGCCAGGTCGCGCGGTGAGCGGCGCTGCGGCGCGCAGATGCGGCGTGCTGCCGGCCTGCCGGTCCGGCGTGCTGCTGGCCTGCCGGTCCGGCGCGGTGCCGGCTGCAGCGGCACGGATTTTTGCGCCTCTGCAAGTGGAGACTGTAGCGGTCAAATGCAGTTGTGGTGTCGCCCGGTCGGGGAGACGACACCACTTCTGCGCGGCAGCTCGGTTGCGAGGCGGCTGCATGCCTGCCCGTGGCCGACAGGCCGATCCATGAACGGAGCTCGCCAGCGCTGCAGACGAGCAAACGCCCTTGAAACAGCTGGGGCAAGGCAACAGACCGCCTCCGCTGCATCAACGCCCTCGCTGGTGAAACGTCAAAGGTCTTGCAAACTGCACAGCTACACGGTCTCGCCAAAGAATTGTCCATTGACGAACGGTGAATAATAGAGGACGGTTACCGGGGCTCGTGATTCGTGGTAACTCCGCGCGGCGCGGTCACTCGTCACACTGCAGAAACACTCGACACTCCGCACAGACACTCCCGTTCTCTCATGTGGCGAGTCTAACTGGGAAAACGACACGCAGAATCGCTACCTCAACAGGAAGTCGGTTGCCCCTTGGTCGCTCGCCTGTGCAAAATACCGTCCTTTACCTGGTTTTAGTGTCGTGAACGGGGACGTAAACTGATTTTCCACGGCATGCGGTTTCACCCCGTGGTGGCTTTTACGAGCACCGTGCCGGTGACGGTGATTGTGGCAGAAGCCCGATGGCAACCGTGGGTGTCGGCAACCCGCTGTCTCACGCATGTAAACCGGGACACCTTGAAGAGGGACTACATCGAGTAGAAGTGTTCTTGAAATGCCGACGCCTCGCAGCCTGTCAGTCCTGCCCACTGCGTTCGACACCCCCGACGTCAGCCGGGGGTGTCACCTCCCGTACCCGCCAGACGCTCCCCTGGGTTTCGTGTCAGGTGTCAGTCGCTGCAGGTGTCATGTCACCGCCTGACATGGCGGGGCGCCGCCGGGCTGCGTGGTCGTGAGGCGATCCCCACGTCACGGAGACCGCCGACACCGCCGCGCCGGTCTCGTGGATCGGGCGGGATATCGACTAGAGATGCAAACTCTGCGCGGCGCGCGCCATGGTATCTCATGCTACCATCTCCATTTACCACTATAGCGTGGTATCTACATACACATTCACACAGAATCTATTCGGATTGGTAGTGTGCGGTCTATTTTACAACAGGTACGGAGTTACCCAAAAATACACACAGCTCTTATGGGCATTATTTTAGCATCAGCAACTCTTCAGTTCTTATTCCACATAATTGAGCGAGTTCGATGGGACAATCCATGTTTCTAAAGCGGTGCTCCATGTCGCCGATATTAAATGTATCTTATATGCGAACGGAGAGTTGAGCGGCCATTAACGAGCTATTTAAGAAAAGCTGTACCTGTAATCCTGGACTATAATATCCCTTACATAGCACATTGAGGGTCTCAGATGACCCGTGAGACCTTGAGACCGTGACACATAATTGGGGTCAAACATGTCTCGACGGAGTGTCGGAATACACATAACCTCTGTCATTTCTGGATCACAGATTATCCGTGAATGCCTGGATCACAAATGTCGACACGGACCACGACACATCACCTGTATCAAGGATGCCTCGTGTCAATGTTGAAATCGCACAGTTTCCCGTGTTTCAGTACACGGATCACGAACCGAACGTCGAATCACGGATCTCCCGCGATTCAATACACTGATCACGGGACATCACCCGTGACATTGTCAGTATCACGAACATCTCGTGAGTGTCCCCGTACCACGGATGGCCTTGCCGCCTGGATTCTCAGTGAGCCACCTCGGACCGGTTGGCTGGCGCGCGGAGAGCTTTCCTTCGGTTTCAGAGAAGCTGGTCGCGACGTCTTGGTTTATCTCACGGGATCCGTTCTCTGAATGTCGCGACATGAGGTTGGTTACTGCGGTCGGCGTGTGTTGGTGAAGGCGCAAACGAACCCGTGAGACGGGGTACGCGGTACGCTACTGGGTCTAAGATGGATGGAAAGCGGATATGACAGAACTGAAATAATTCGAACGGTGCCCACTGTAATTTGATGAGCAAGCGAGGAATCAGCTCATTCGCTGCGAACACCATATGGGTAGTTCATTCATACCATTATTTTCGACTGGCTATTTGCAAGTTTAGAACAATGCATAAATGTTTGTGTAAATGTGTATTCCACTCAAATAAAGTATTGCAATGTGCATAAATAAATGCACATTCAACGTTTCCTTACGTGCCACAATGGCTTTGGAAATAATGTCACAGATCAAGAGTAACTTGGGGGCATTAGTTTTATAATTATTGCGCACGTCATCTTTGTAAAGGCAGAAGTTCGAAAACACCACATCTCCTAGCTAAAAATATCCCCAAATATCGGCTGTGAATCGAAATTGTAAATCGGATCACTGGCTTCCTCGGGTATCGCTGCGGTCGAAATCCGATCAAAAGACTTACCCCTGCCGCGGCGTCTTGCATTAGTCATTAGTTGGGATCAGCGCCAGATGTTATGTGCTAAGGCTATACGGTGATCGTCAACCAAAAATAGCTGTCGCATGAATTATTTGCTGATCAAGCATGTCGACTTTGACGTTTGGGGACAATGTGAAAGCTTAGCTTAGATCGTAGCGAACTGACTGCAATCCAGTTGGAGGCATTTCATAGATGAGGACCGATTTTGTATTGTTTCAGAAAGTAGCAAATGCGTGCGACTTGTAATTAATGAATATCACGCAACAGTCAACACTTTATAGACATTCTGGCACCGAAATGATTCCACCATCGTCAAACCGTATGAAAATACATAATTATTTTTGTTGCATATTAATTATTATGTACAGACATGCATGATTTGCGGAACCCAAACGACATATGAATTTGCACGACACTCACAATTGTACCCTTGAACCCCTACAAAATGAAGCGAATAAAATCTACTTCACTCACCATTATGCATACGTTGTCACTAATGCCCAGCACGTATCATTTACGCATGCATAAATTATTTTCATTGCATGAAACGTGCAATAACCTC